CTTTTTCGGGGCCGATCCAGCGGAGCTGGGAGTCGTTGACGAGGTGGCGCCAGGTGCGGCCGAAGTTGGGGCCGACGAGGGAGGAGAGGGGGAGGGAGAGGATGCGCGAGGCTAGGTGGGAGATGGCGGAGCAGACGAGGTCGTTGCCGCGGCCTATGGTGAAGGTCTGTGTGGAAGGGGGGTTAGTAAGGGGAAGGGGGGATAAAAAGGGGGGGGAGGGGGGAGACGAAACCATGCCGTGGCCGGTGAACTCGGAGTCGGTCTCGAGGATGCAATAGGCGGCTGAGTAGTCGCCTGCGGCGTTCATGGCGTCTGAGCCGGTTTTGTCGAGGGAGGTTGGGAAGCGGACATCGCGGGTTTGGAAGGAGGTTATGGTTATTTCTTTGGCTGCCATCTTTGCGTGTTGTTGTGTGAGTTTTGGCTTATATCCGGGCTGATGAGTGAACAGTGAGATGTTTCCCGACTGTGACTGGGCTTTGAGAGTGGATAAGCTGGCCACGAAGTTTACAACCATATACCGAGTATAAAGCAAGGCCTGAAGGATGTTGTCACTGAGCGAAATCCAAGATAAAATACCATCATCAAGTTCATCAGGGTACCTAGCTCCGATCCAGGAACGCGGGGCAGCTTGGGGATAGCTCGGGCTGTGAGGGGAACAGTGGGGTGAATGGGGAACGGCAGTCGAAGGAGCGCCGTTTGATTGATGGATAAATCGTGGGGGGATGGTACTCTGTTCCATGACTTAACCGTTGCTTGGGGGTTGACATCGGGTCGGGTCAATTGGTGTCGAGGGAATAATCAAGTTGTATTGGGTTAGGGTTGAAATTACCCCTTTTCTTCTTTTCAGGGATAAGTAACGAGTTGTGGTCTTGGTATCCAACACCAAGAAAGTAAATAGATTGTTATTCTATGCGAAAGGAAACGAAAATAGAATCCGACAACCCTACGGAGCTTAGCTTGCCCCCATGCGGCTACGGGTGTCAGTGAAACACCAGTTTGCTCGGCACCCGAAGATGATCGGGACGAGTCAAGAGCGCAATAGACACTCCGACACGCGCCAAAGAGGCCAAGAATATTCTCGGGGCTAAGTATGGCTTCTTGTGCAGACAATGATGAAGATATCATGATGTTGAACGCGTGGTCCCTCGGACTTGACTTATGAGCCGTGTTCACCTCGGAGCTTTCAGCCCCAAGATTTCTTGCTCAAGCTCCGACTGGCCTCGGCCTGATGGTGATTGGCCTCACAGTTGTTGATAGTGGTGAATGCCCCTGAAACTTGGGTATATCTCCATGAAGTTAAATAGTCTCAACATCTCCAGCAAAAAAAGGTTCATCAGTCACCCTCATCATCAGATCAGATCAATATCATACCAGCCTCCAAACAAAGCTCACCTCAATATGTCGACCAAGCCCTTCAATCTCTCTACCCCCAACCGGACAGTCCAAGTCGGCGTGGTCCTCCTTGGCGGGTAGGTCTCTCCTTCTTCCTCTCCAGAAATCTGATACTGACAAGACCGTATTAGTCTTACCGAGCTCCTCGATGTGGCCCCCATCGACCTCTTTCACAGCCTCACCCCCAAGTTTCTTCAACCCTTCCCTGACGCCTTTATCGCCCCTCACCTCAAGCAACAGGCTGTAGACATGGAATTCCACTGGGTGACTGAGACCGGCAAGATCCCTTCCACCAACAATGTCTCCTCGGGCACCACCATCGTGCCGACTGACTCTTTTGACACTTGCCCGGTCCTGGATATTGTCCTCATTGGAGCTCACAATACCGGGTACAACCCTACTAATACCGAGCTCTCCTTCATCCGCAAGGTGTATGACGGATGCTCCGCCTTTCTGACCGTCTGCGGTGGGATCGAGGTGCCTCTGAGAGCGGGGATCTTGAAGGGAAAAACCGCGACGGGACCGAGATTCATGCTTGATGTCTATCGACAGCAGGCACCGGGGACGAACTGGGTTGAGAAACGCTGGGTGAGTGACGGGAAGCTGTGGACGAGCGGGGCCTTGTTGAACGGGACGGATATGGTGGCGGCTTTTCAGAGGGAGGTCTGGGGTGGAAAGTCGCTTACAGCCGAGGATTCCTTGGTGGAGTTTTTGGCAAGAATTGGAGGTGTGCCGGTGAGGGACGTTGACTACAAGGATGTGGACTGGAAGCTGTGATTCTCTGGAGGCCTTGAATTTGTTTGCTTCAAAGACTGTGTTGGCTCCCGTCGTTTGCTTGGAAGTATCACATGACATTACCTAGGTTGGGCATTGGAGGAAGGGTCGACTGAAGGCTGATGTCACGTTTCACCCTGCAAAACAGATATGACCTATCAAATACACTCATTCATCCTCTTTCTTTCTACATTGGCAACCTCCGTCTCTCCCCACGACTCCAAGATTTATCACCACGGCTGTTGAACGGTATACCCGGTTAGCTATCTTAACGTCATCTCATGGTAGCCGCGACCGTCGTCCACGTGCAACGAAACGCTCGCCCAAACACAATATCACATCACCGATTGAAGATTTGGGGACCCAGAAGCCAATCATCACTCTCCAAATTTGACTTACCCCTTCCATTTTCTCACACCTTTCCTCACACCAGAAAGGGGTTGACCGATCCCAAGTGACCGATCTCAGTCAATGTTGGCCACTACTCATCGACACGGGCACTGACAGGTAGTACCTGAGCCACCACGACACGTACTTCGTCTTGCCGTCCACATGTTGACACAGGCTGCCGACTCACAGAGATTGCCATATACCGTGCTTGGTTTGACTCAACTCGGCACACAAACCACCCGGGGCTCGGGATCCTCACGCTCCCTTCACGTTGTTTGCTCAGCTTCGGGATTCCCTTGTCCTGTTCAAAAGTCCCCCTCGTTGTACATACATTACCCCATAATGTAGGACTGTGTGGCTTGCCTATCGAGCCATGATCAATGTCAGGTAAGTGCTCAAGTAGGCATTGCCTGGCCTGCCCCCATGTATGGATGATTTGTCCTTCCTCTTTCAGTATGCTTTCCATCTCAGACGAAAATGTCTTTTGTCGCTCTGAAACGTCTGCTATTCAACAACCCCAAGAACAACAGACCTATTCTACCAGCAGCTACCAAGCCATCAACACCACCGCCAAGTCTCGACAATGTCTCAACCGACCTCGAACTTCAGCTTCCAACCTCGGAAGATCTGGCAACTGCCCAAGGACAGAACGCTCACAGGCCACTCATCAACCCCCGCTTGATCTCAGACGCAACGATAGGTCTCTCAGATGGTCTCACCGTTCCCTTTGCCCTCACCGCAGGACTTACCGCTCTAGGCGACACCCGCACAGTCATTTATGGCGGTCTAGCAGAGCTCATAGCAGGCGCTATATCCATGGGTCTTGGGGGATACCTCGGCGCAAGGGGAGAACTAGCGGCCTATGAAGAATCCCACTCGAGGCTGGTGGCGCTTCTTCAGCCCACAGGTACATCCACAAAAGCGGCCACCACCACTGGCCAAGACACCGTCATCGATGCGTTACAGCAAGGGCTGTTCCCTCTACGGGTACCAACAGAGATACTAACGCGGCAACTCATTGACGGGGACAGGGAAGAATGGGTCGGTTTGCTGTTGAGGCTACAGGGGATCTCTCTCCCTTCGGCAACATCAGAGGGGACGACAACGAAACTTGAACCGGATGACAAAGTCAAGGATGACAAGAGAAGGAGGAAACAGAGGAGAGACGACAGCAGGACGAGAGCGATGCAGTCGGCCATCACGATCGCGGCTGGGTATTTTCTCGGAGGGCTCCTGCCGCTGATACCGTATTTTTTCGTGGTGGGACACACGGGGAGGCTGATGACGGGGTTGTATATTTCCATTGGGGTGATGGGGGTGGCGTTGTTCACGTTTGGGTATGTCAAGACTGGGGTGGTGGTTGGGTTTGGGAGGCAGCACGCGAAGAAGTGTATGTTGGGGGGTGTGCAGATGGTGGTTGTGGGAGGGATGGCGGCGGGGGCGGCGATGGGGTTGGTGAAGGGGTTTGAGGGGGTGGGGACGTTTGGGTCGGGAGAGCCAACATCTAGATAGGTGAGCTGAAAATAGAAGGTTTATGAAAGGGGGGGGATGATTTTGGTATTATGATATTGTTCCTCAGTCGACTGCTATCAAAGTCTCAAAAACTTCTGGCCGTGACGCTATCCTATCCTACACTCAAGTTTATGTATCCTGTCACCCATCGAAGTGACCACTGATAGACTATGATATTGTCCAGCAATGAGGCTTTAAGCACCGCCCTCCCGCTTGGCATACTCCTCCTCCATGGCCTCTTCGTATCTCCTGTCTGCCTCCTTCTCTTCCTCGGTCTTTGGTCTGGTCACCCCAGCGCCCGTGTTGACGCCCGCGCCGGTGGGAACATTGGTGACTTTGCTTGTTTGTTGGGCGTCGGTGCCTAAGGAGGAAGGGGGGTTGGAGGGGGCTGAAGCGGAGGTGTCGACTTTGTCGGACATGATTGTTTCTTTTAGACGAGGTTCTTTTGTGGAAAGTTTGATGTGATGAATGTTTTGGTGTGAAGGGTAGGGATACACGATGTGTCTTGTTTGTTTGGTTATGTGGATGAGGTATAGGGAACAGTTCCAGGTTGTGAAGCTCAGCACAAGTAAGTATAACTTATGGCTCTTTGTGAGGTGACCAGCTAAGCGGGTTGAAGGGTGGCGGAAAGTGGCGAGGCGAGCTTGCGTACAGCGTGCGTAATTGCTCAGTTGGGCATTTTACGGGCGCTGGGGACTCCGGTACAGCGGATCCAAGCCAGGCGAACCCGCTAATGGAATTCAGGAACGGGACTTAGGGAGCTCTCCACAGCGCATGAATTCACTGCAGGTCGGGTGCTGTGGGTGATGTCAGCGTCCGCAATTTAATTATAGAGAACTTAAAAGACATATCCGACGACAGACAAATCCACCCTCGGGCATCGCGATGATGAGCCCCTATCCCTCCACCTGAGCCACAACACAACATAAAAACCCCTTGTGGTGTAGTTGGCTATCACGTTCGGTTGTGAATGATGCAAATTTATTGAATACCGAGAGGTCTCCGGCTTGATTCCGGACAAGGAGCTCATTTTCTTTTGCAGTTTTTTCTTCCAAGTTTAAGGCTCATCGCCACAGACTAAATGGGGGCATGGTCAAAGATGTAAGTATCCTCAAAGTGGTTCAGTTGTCAACGGATAAATAGATGAACATCATCAAAGATTTGTCAGCTGAACTTTCAACATGTCGATGTTCTTTTCATCAAGTTCGATATCATTCACACACCTCCCTTCCTCCCTCCCTATAATTACCATTAAAGTAAATAATTAGAAACAAACCCCCATCTCCTGACCAACCACCCCTTGTATTCAACTCAGCCCCGTCCACCCTACATCTCCCATCAAATCCTCTTCTCCCACTCCCCCCTCAACTCCTCCATCCTCCTCCAAACCGACCCACCCAACTCCTTAAACTCGACCAACCTCTCCTCCTTCACCAGCGCCATCCCCCCCTTCCTCCCCACCAGCTTCCCCTGCTTCCTCAACTCCTCCATCTCCTCCACTCTTCCCTCCCACCCCCACCCATCCACCTCCGTCTTCCTCACATAATTCCTCCCCCACCTATCCGCCGCGCTCCCCCATTTTACTCGTTCCGCATGCTCCGCATCCAGCGCCTCCTGCTCCTGCAGCGCGAGCCACGCAGGCGCGTTGCTACCGTTGTATCCAGTAATCGGATGCCACGGTGACCCCATCCAGCGGACAAGATACAAAACAACTTGATACCAAAAGAACATGAACGCGTTCAGCGGAAACAGCGTAGTCTGCACGATGCCCGGATGCGCCAAGTAGATCTTGGGTGGGGTCTTGTCTTCTGATACTGAAAGGTATTTGTCGACATAAGGCTTAGAAGCTGGGAGGGAGGAGGTCAATGCCAGTATATCGGTAAGGCGCTTGGTGGACTCGTAGGCGGCGTCGGTTTTGAGGGCTTGGAAGTCATCTAGCGAAAAAGTGTCCCAGTCGGCGTCTATGCTGCTTTCCCAGATGATCCTCCCGGGTGGTAACGGTGATGACTTGGGGCGGGAGAGCAGCGGGACGAGCTTTTGCGCAAAGAGATAATGCCCAAAGACGTTGGCGCAAAAGACCTCGCCCATTGTTTCTTTGCTGTCAGGGACGGGGGTGATGATTTGCCCCAAGTTGCCGCCTTTAAAGGTGGGCCAGGTGGTGGCCGAGACTATGCCCTTTGTAAAAATGTTGTGGGCTACCTTTGGCCATTTGATGCCGTACCAGCCGCCGATTCCGGCATTGAAGATGATGGAGTCTAAGCGGGGGATTTTGACGTTGGTGAGAGATTCGAATTCGGGGGCTGTGGAGGGCGATGAGAGGGTGCCGGAAAGGAGCTGGTTGGCGGCGGTGGCGATGGTGGGGAGGTTGCAGAGGTCGATTTGGACGGAGAGGATGTGGATGCGGCGAGTGGCTTGTTGGGGGTTGTAGTTTTGGCCGGCGCGGGAGCGGAGGGCGGGGGAGGATTCAGCGAACTTTTTGGCATGTTCGCGGAGGTTGGTGATGGTTTCTTGGGACTTTTTGTGGGAGCGGGTGGTAGGGATCAGGATGAGGTGGGATGTGAGGGAGCGGGTGGTAAGGTATTCGTCGATGAGGCGTTGGCAGATGCCGAAGCCAATGCCACTGTTTTAGGGGCTTGACGTCAGAAACCGGTGAAGTTTAGATGGAGATGGGACGGAACGGGCCTTACCTGTTAGCACCTGTCACCAAGACAAATAGGGTGTCCTTCTCACGGACTCGGTCCCATGGCGGCGGAACCATGTTTTCGTCGTCGTTCGTTTAGGTAGTGCTTGTGAAGGTGGTAGATGATTGAGGGGAGAGCTCGCTCTGTGCCAGCTGGTCAGGGGGCAGCTTTAAGAAGCTGGCTGGTTGGTTTTCGGGTTGCCGTTTTGGAGTCGGTATAAAGTGGAGAGGTTCCGATATATTGGCTGGTGGCTGATGGCACAGCAGACTTCAGCGCATGCAGTCGTGACAGCCAGTTGGTTCTGCCGGCTTGGTGATGCAGGTTAACGAGTTGGGAGTGAGTCGGACTCGGTGGAGCTGTTGGTATCCAGACTGTCAAATTTCCTAGTGGATCACCAGCTGGAGCAAAGATGAGGCGAACGGCAGTCTAACCCAGGGTGTCCTAATTCGACTTCGAGGCTCCGGTCCCACTCAGCTCAGCTGTTTCAATGAAACGTTGCAGATACAAGCAATGTTCACTGCTCATACGTTGAGGGCTTGAGTCTTCGTTTACACTACACGGAGAAGCTGACCGACAAACATTGCTGCATCGACTCTTTTCTGAAAGCTGGCACGGCCGGGACTTGTGTTCGTCCCCGCTTTCGATAGCACCCTGTATCCGTACTTTTGCGGCACCACCCGCAGTGTCCCCATCTGACAAGGTTTCCAACAACATCCAACTCGACACGATGCCAGCCAAGGTCTTGATTTTTGCTGGAGCCCCTGAAAGCAGCACGCTCAATTGGGATGTTGGGCTGCTGTCAAACTTTTCCGATCCGATTGCTCAGTTTGCAGGAATCACGACAAACAGGCAGCAACCTCTCCCGCCTGCATCTGTACCAGCCCAAGATCATGCCGTCTGGAGATCTTTAACACTGGAGAGGACTGACACCATCCCAACCGGCCGCCCAAACCAAGTCGCATTCAACCCTTACTACGATGAGTCTGCCGAATTTCTTCCAGGGACAGGACCCGAGTTTTTCACCACCGTATATACTACTTCTTTTGCGTCGACTCGAAATAGCCAGTCTCAGTCTCAGTCTCAATCTCAGTCTCAATCTCAGTCTCAGAACCATGCCCTATCACAGCTTTACGAACATTCTATCGCTATCCACCAAGATATGCCATCCTCTCAGCTCATTATGGACCACAGTCAGAGCGATCAGTCAGCGTCATTCATCAGCAATGAGACCACCTCGTTCATGTCTGATGGTGCCAGCCAACGTGAACCCGCGAGAGGGCCATTGCCTTTCCGGGGCGATTCCTACCTTGCCGACCTGAAGGATATTCCCCCGGCCTCGCATCTTACCAGGATTCTACCGCAAACCGTGAGCGTCAATCTGATTGTAGGTATCATCTCCATCGCTCAGCCACGAGTCGTCAACACCCGGTGGGGACCCAAGTATCTAGTCGAAATCCTGGTCGGTGATGAAACAAGAGCTGGCTTCACCGTCACCTACTGGCTGCCATCAGCCGACGTCGAGAAAAGCTGCCTTGCAGGGTTGCGACCCGGAGATATCGTCTTCATGCAGAACATTGGCCTCAATGTGTTCTTAAAGAAGGTATATGGGTCTAGTCTCCGCAAGGATCTGTCCAAGGTCCACCTTCTCTACCGGATGAGGCTCGATTCTCAGGACAGCGGCGGTCATTATACTACATCCGACTTGTCATCTACGAGCAACAGACATCCCCAACTAGACAAAACACGTCGGGTTCGAGACTGGGTTCTGAATTTCGTGGGAGGTGGTAACCAGCACGACGCCAGGTCCAAGAACAAGCCCGCCAACCCAAGACGCCGTTGGGAACGACCCCCAGACGATGATACTCAACTGCTGCCTTGACTACTTTACTTGGAGTTGTAGTAAGCCATATCACTCTCGACTGCAGTCTTTGTACCATTTTTTCAGCATTTCATAGTGTTGTCATAGTCACTTTTCGGGATATCGACGGCGCCGGAGGTGGTTCCGTTACTGAGCACAACCCCTGTCCTCCCCGGTCTTGGCGGCACGGTCCAGCTGCCGAGACCCTCCGGTGGCTGTGAATGGACTCTCGAACAGGCTTTGCGTGGCCTCCGCGTCAGAAGAGAAATTGCGACTACGCGGCTCAGGTCCGCAGGGGTTAACTAACAGCGACATATAACGATAGGAGATGTTCGTGACGAAGCTCAATTGCACCAAACCTCGCCCAGCCCTGACTCCCCTGACCTGAAAAACTCGGCCTTGGCGGAAGCGACCTCATTCAAGATGATGCGGAGACGTCACAAGAAATCCCGCCGCGGGTGTCTAGAGTGCAAGAAGCGGCATATCAAAGTGAGTGCGTTTAAGTTCAGGAGTTGCTGTTCCTCTCGCTGACCGGGCGTTTGCAGTGCGATGAGACACGACCGCGGTGTATAAACTGCACAACAGTGGAGAGAAATTGCCAATACTCTACCCCTGGACATCAGTCACCCTCGGAGACCTCAGGGAGTCCTGCGCCGCTTTCTCAGCCTCCATCTGTCCCGGCCTCGGCCTCCGTGATGGTGCCCGCCTCGGCTTCCGACCATACCGTGCCCGCTCTCACACCCACGGCCACACCGACACTGGGAGTGCACCCCTTTCCTTACGCTGGGGATATGAACGGCAAAGTCGATATCGTGCATATGCAGCTCTTTTATCACTACTTGACCAACCACGCAATCATCTATCCGTTTGTCGATTACGATGGAGGCTTGAAACGCATCATTATCGAGGTTGCGCTTCGAGAACCGTTTCTATTACATTCGATCCTCGCCATGGCAAGCCGGCACCTTAGCATGACCGGGTCCAGTAATTCGGCATATTACCACGACCTCGCCATTGAGCTCCAGACACATGCCTTGTCTCTGTTCAACAGCTTCGACGTTGAGTATTTTGCCCAGTCGATCGAGCGCCGAGTGCCTGTCTTCCTCTTTTCCGCCATCCTAGGGTTCCATGCCCTGTGTGATATGTTAGCATGTCGAGACGACACGTTTCCCTCCAACCTGGCCCGGCTTACAGGATATTTCCGTCTACATCGTGGCATTCTTGCCGTTATGGACGGTCACTGGGAAGATCTCAGAAAGACGGAGCTCAAAATTCTTTTTGAGAAGATTGTGCCCCGTTGGTATGAGATCAGTGATGATGGAGGTTCCGATTGTGACGACATAAGGCTTAGAATTCAAACTTCTCCAAACCTCGATGACGAACAGCGCAAAGCATTTAGCAATGTCCTCAAGTATCTTCAATGGGTATTTGATGCCAAGCCCAACTACCGCAGCCGAGCTCATCTACTGTGCAGTTTTGCGTAAGTT